GGGATGGAGCAGGACCCTGACTCCTTCCCCCCTGCTCTGATCCTGGGTTAGATCCCAGCAGCCAACTGAGAGGGAAAAGGAGGCTGTCACCCACCACCCCTCTGCTCCCTCTGACCTTCCTGGCTTGCGGTGTTACTTTTTAAACGAGCTCCAGGCAGGCGGGTGTCCAGGTAGGTTCATTGCCGTCCACATCAAAGTGTTCCTGGCAGGAGCTGTGTGGCTGGTGGAACTCGGGGTAGCCTTGTCCCAGGGACCAGCCCTGCAGACAGTAACCACAGGAGCGTGCAACCAGAGCAAGAGGTGACTCAAGAAAGGGAGCCAGGAGGTATGTTTTAAATACTTTTATTTCTTAATTTACATAAAGGTATATATTTGGCTTATTTATCTTTTTTTTATACTCTGAGATTCACAATCAATTGCTCTTAAAAAATAAAATAGTCATTTGCTTCTGAAAGAAATCAGAAAACTATTTTATACTCCTCCCTTGTATAACAAGAAAATATACTATATACTCCCGTACATCACATAGCAAAAGTGATCGTAAGTGCTGGTTTACCAAACAATAAAGCAAATGGAGAAGAAAACAAACAATTAGGACGGAGGATGCAGAGAGGAACTCTGCTTTCCAGAGTACAGCCATTCATTTCTAGGGTTTAGTCACCCTGAGGTTCTCTCTTAGGTAGCGTATATAAAAGGGGAGAGGCTCTTGGGTTCACCCAGATTCTAGCTCTGTGAGCGATGGCAGCAGGAGGCATTATAGTTACTTGGGTTGGCAGCTTGCTGCTTTTTGGGTAATTTTCTTGCCTCTCTGTGCAGTTCCCATTACCTCAGTTCCTCTCGCTGTGTACAAGCGCCTAATTGCTTCTGTAGCGGGTGCATTAGTGCGAATGCAGTATTAGAGTTAATGCTTGCTTAAAAAACCCCCAAACGTTTATGGAGTGGATTTGAAGAAAGCTCTCATGATTAACTGAGGGGCATCCTGGACCCTCCCCAGTGCACTCTGGACATGCTGCGCCCTGCTCGGACCCTGATGAATGCAGTAAGGCTGCATCTAACATTGTAGGTCCCACAGAGTGCGGGGAGATTGGAAGAAACCTGCACCTTGCAGAAAACCATCGGTGATGGCTGACCCTCGGGCAGAGGTGGGGAACAGGGGCAGAGCACTGGGGAAGGACCAGTTGCAGCCCTGAGGAACAGGGCGAGGCAGCAGGTACCAGGGAGGGGGGGCAAGACACAGCAGCACCAGCTGATAACCTGGACACCCTTTCCCTCGCTTGGCCCCGTCCTGAGACGTGTATGTGCTGGGGTGGGAGGGCGTGAGTAGCGCTCACTGCCTTTTGGTAGTATTTTCCCATGTTTTCAAACGCATTCAAGGGCTCCTGTTTGTGTAGTCAGACACTGACACGAAGTGATTTTGTGTGCAAGAGATCAGTGGCTTTAAAGGTATTTCTGTCCTTATGGGGACTATTTAATTTTGTGTTGAAGTTTAGAACCACAAACATAACCTTGATGACCTACCTGTACAACTACTTATTTAAGTGACAGGCTGGAATCTTACTTCATTCAGTGTGGTACAACTACTTATTTAAGTGGCAGGCTGGAATCTTACTTCATTCAGTGTGATGGATACTAAAATACGTGGGTTCTTTATTAAAAACTAACTATATTTTCCTATTAAGAGCCTTTCTTTATAAAACCAGAAATACAATTTTAATGAGGGCTGTTACTCAGCTTGGATATAAGTAATGTGCATTCAGTCTAAGCTTCTATTCTCATTGCAGAAACACTTCCTATGTATATATCAAAAATTGTTCCACTGCTCCCACACTGCTCCACAAGGTCAACAACCAAACGGCCCTAACAGCTTCCAAGCCTGGTTACATCTAAACGTACATGAAATGGAGTCATAGGGGAAACCAGCACAATATGGCTTGCTAAGTCCAGAGTTCAGCACCAGTATAACACAATACTGTAAGGTTTTGGTTTTTTAATAATGGGGAACTTCTGACCTCTACTAGAGTATAGAAACACAACATGGCTTGTTTATAGAGCATCTCAGCCTCGCACATAAAGAAACTGAGGCCAGGCCGTGACTCTCCCCAAGTCACATACTGGCAGAAATGGGCTGATGTCCTGGGACAGGGAACAGTATGTTAGAATCCAGGGAAGGGGCTTATATGGCAGCATAGGTCCAGTTTCTGTTCGGTAATACATAACGTTTCATGTCCAGACTTGATGCACCTGTTATTGCCATAATCTACGGACCCTTGATCTAAGTGAGCTGGTTTCCCTCTATGTTAAACCATGACACTCTAACAGACCAAATACCTTTATAGAAGCACTAACTGAACAATTCTTCACAGCTAAAACAAGAAACACTCAACCAGAAACGCAGCCTTTCAGCTTCTAGCCATTCAAATATGGGCCATCAACGTGTAAAGGAGCAGCAGTGTCAGCAGGAGGTGGAAAGGCTGAGTTTCCTTTCCCTTCTGTTCACCTCCTCTGAGCTGTCAGCTGCTGCTTTGGCTTCCCTCTCTTAGCCTGGAACACGTGGGAGCAGGGATTCAGGGATCCCTTGGTGTGGAACTGCTGCAGGTAGGACTCACTTCTCACTCCCTTGCTTGCTCCCTTCCCTCTTTCCTTGTTAAAAAGAAAGCCACAGCAATTTCCTTCATATGCGCAGAAGACAAAGCTGGCCTCCTGTAACAGCGCTGTGCTTCTCTAACAAGGATTGGGGCTTGTCATGAACAAGGAGAGCTACTGAAATTACAAAACACTTAAGTTCCCTTTTCATTGTTGACTCCTGAGAATTAAGTTTAAGGACAATTCCTAATCTCTGAACTTCAGCAGGAATGCTTCATTTTGTTGACAGTAAATGCTACAACAGAGAGAGCCTATTAGAAAAGCAATTTAGGAAATGTGGCTAATCTTCTTTGGTCTCTGAGATGAAGTGACTGATTGTTGGGTTGCTTTTCGTTTCTTTTTAAACAGCTTAACAAGGGATTTCTTAATGGGAATCAGAAATTCATGTGCCTTTAAAGCCAAGCGTTTGGCTCCTAGACTACAGAGGCGGTATTTCCCCTACGAATGTAAATAGTGGCACAAGGTGGGAAATGAAGCATTGTTTTGGATTTGCTTTGCTTTATTATTTCTAGCACCCGCTTGCTGTTCTCCAGAGGATGCCCAGGCACTCGAGGAAAATTTCTGGCTCTAGTTGTTTAGCCAAATCTTAAAGCTATTGTTAAGGTGTTTTAGGTGACAGAGCAACCTTTGCAGAAGAGTGGAGTTTGAGGAGGAGGAAAGGCTCACGTTGTTATAGGAGTCACTCTCAGAACCCATCTGCCTGGGCAGAGACTGGCTACGTGGTGAATATCAACCAGTTCGCTCGTAACTGGAATTACCATCTCTACTACAATGCTGTACTGTAGGTCCTAGCACATCCTGGAAGTGAATGGGAGATAAAACCCAGATTTACTAACAGTACCTTCCTGTGTCTCTGAACAAACTTACGCCACAAGTCTGGAAGCTGGCTGTCTGATTAACTCGCATCCAGTCCTGGTTTGGCATCTGCTTTGCTGATTTAGTCCTACTAGCAGCCCAACCACAGCCACTTGTTAAAGATGAGCACAAGAGCGAGGTGCATTCACCTGCTCGAGGTGTGTGCTAAACTGGAGGGGAGTATCTAAACTGTGGGAGACATCTAAACAGAAAAAAGGGAGCGGGGAGTTCACTGAACCAATGCCCCTTCTCTGGAAGCCTGCCTTTTGCCAGGGCCCGTGCTCCCCTGCCTTCCCCACACTGTTGCAGCATCAAGATGACATAGCATAAATTTGGCTTGTGGAGGCCAAGTGCAGGAAACAAGACTAGTGAAATGGCACTCTGACTGCTTTACAGACACACGCTTCTGCATTTGAGACTAACGCAGTTCAGACACTGGCCTTGTATATTAAAGATCTCAAATGCATCTTCATAAAGATAAAAGCGACCAACTGACAGCCCAGTAAAAGTAGTCTGGGACTGTGCATGGGGTTGGGCATGCATTAAACCTGAGCATTGTTCCAAAGGAAACGGCTATGGTAGAGTATCAGCCACCTGCTTTGAAAATACTGACAGAGGGAGAACTAGCATTGACAATACATGTAATGTGATATGCATGTAAACAAAGCACGATGTCACTGGCACAGCAGTATTGCACTACCAGGCCTTAGGTAAAGCAATTCAGCCAGATGGATTTTGGTATTTTAAAAACCTAGGCAAGGCTGAATTCAGCATATTGAGCAAACTCTAGAGTCCCTAGGTATTTCTGTCCAAAGTTCTTCTGGGCCTTTCTGTAACAACCACCAGCATACCCAGTGCAGCGAAACTCTCTCCTCTGTCCCATTGCTCAGCCTCAGGTGACAGGTAGTCATCCACTGGAAGTCTTCCTACGGTGCCCTTGCAGGGCCTGATACCAGGGCACTGAGATGAGGAGAGTTGTGGACGTTATTCGTGTCTGGTATGGTTGCACAGGCAGCTCCAGATTTTAAATGTTTAAATAAAAACTGTTTATCTAAATATATATATATATATCTGTCATCTAATGTCTTCAGCAGAGATAAAGCATCTTATGACATATTTAAATAAAAAATAATAATCTGAATTGAGCCTTCAGTGTTAAAGAAAAGGTGATGTACAGAATAGGTCCCCAACTAGTGCAGTCTCTGGGTGTGGGAGTGCTGACAGAACAGCAGCATTCAATAGGACGTAAGTTGCCCTACAAATGATGCGGACTTCATTGGCTACAACTAAAACCATATACACAATCTACAGTCACTCACTTGGGTAGCACATTGTGGGTCCAGTGGACAGTTGCTTTCGATGCTCAGAGGAACCTGTGAACGTCCTTATGCTCAAGAAGTACTTGTGTTCCAGGCTGCCCTGCTCATCTCCTGGTGCCTGACCCTGCAGGCTGGAGTGGCGTGATTGATTTGGTGCTGAATAACCCTTCCAGGGCAGTGTGGAGCTGAAGGATCCACTGGTTTTCAGTACGGAAGGGCTTCGAGCTTGAGATTGGTGCGGTGGTGGTGGGAGCAGCAGTCCATATGTCATTTCCTTCACTGGCAACTGCAGACAGGGAAGAGAAGGTGGTGGTTAATGGGGCAGTCACAGGAATGGATTGGTAATGGTGAATGCATGCACCCAGCTTCGTGGCGGAGGCCAGCTAAGAGACCCCTTGCCTCCATGCAAGTTGGAGGCTAGCAAAGCTTGACCACTGTGGAGACAGCACTTTGGGATGTACTGTAGGCTTTTGGAATTGGAAACACAAATACACTGTGATCCAGGCACAATCTGCTTAAGGAGGTGAACCAGTAACAGGTTTAGACTGCTGTCCGTAGTATTTAAGGGCATCGACCATGTCTTGTTTAATGTCAGTTGTGTAGGTACAACTGTTTGTGATGTGGGTTGAAACAGCTCGGTGGATAACAGGGTTAATTTTTGCTAGACTGTTTTTAACCCCTGTAAGAAAACAGGGACTGCCTCTTGCCTTAAACTGTCATTTTCAAAACTGCTGTCCTCTGGAGAGCCCGGTCCGGGGGGCGAGTCCAGCATACACATCCCCAGCAGTAGAGCTCAGCTATCAGTCTTGCTGCTAACCAAGTAGAGCAGACACTGGCTCTCTCCCAGCATGCTGGTGGTATACACTTGCTTTAAAGAGCAACATCAGCACATCTATTGACTGGTGAGATAGCACTTGTGCGTCCTGTAGCATATCTAAGCAGCCAGCAGCTTTCCTAGATGAGGTGGAAAGGATAACCAGTTCTCTCGCTGCAGGATTTCCTGTGAGAGGTTCTGTGCTCCATGTTATGCAGGAAATTGCCCCTGACCTTAAAAAACAGTGACTGCTGGGTTATAGAAAAATTCCCTGTAACGATGGCCTGGTTTCTCTCAACCTGTATAAAACTGGACCGAAAGAGAAGAAAGTACAGTGAAAAACCTAGGTGTGCACAGGACCCAAGCGTTCAGTGTTTTATAAGGCAAGTCTCAGCAACGCCACCTAATACTTGCTCCCAGATTTTTTGAGGCCTTTTTTTTTATTTTTTTAAACAAACAAGCACCATTATCTACAGGGTACTGATAAATAATAATAATGTGTGAGTACACGTTCGGCCCAGAGACTGCAAGGTACAGGCAGGCCTGTTATATCCTTAGCCTATACCAGAATATACCCCCCTCTGTGGAAATAACACGTCTGCTGTACTAGAGATTGTATTAAATCTTTTCTCCCAAAAGGCCATTCTTAAGTGTGTTATTGAGTTCTGATTTTATGATTACTCTTTCAATGCATTTAATTTATGGGAAAGAAATCTCCTCTTCAAAAACTTGCTTTAATTAATTTTGGCTACGGTAAAATGCTGGGAAGTGTTTATCAATCATTGCAGCTCTGAGCTGCAATGCTGTGACTGCTGGTGAGTGATAAGAATAGCATGAACACAAGGGAGAAGAAAGGGCAGCGGGAGTGGGGCTCTCCCTCTGGCTCGCTGCCGAGGCCTCAGCTTTGTCACCCTGGATCAAGGGTTGCAGTGGGGACAGTCCTAGCAACAACATGCAAGTTCACGTGCTGCCAGAAAGCATTTTTCTGCAGAAAAGTTGGAATACGCTAGGGAAGGTCATTTGATAGCGAGCAGATGTTGGACCAAGAGCAATGCAGCAGCAGGTTTTATGAACGCAAGATATGTTCAGGCAAAACCTAAGTTCTGGCCTCGGACAATCACACCTGCTGGTGGTCAGGTCAACAGGGGTTGCATGGCCTTACCTGCTCAAAGAAGGGGGCATCAGGTTTCTGGAAGCAACTCAATGCAACAGAGAACACTTGAGTTGACCCCTGGTTTCCCTGTTCTTGATTTGCTCCAATTTGGGTTGAGGGTAGCAAAGGTGCAGGCCATGGCTGTCTAAGGTTAACTTCTTTCCAATTTGTAAGGAAAGACATGGGTTGATAGGGATTTGGAGCAGATGGGTAGCTTGAGACCAGTTGCTGGTTTGGGTCACTCACCGTCTCAGACTTTCACAGAGGCTGGTGGCATCACAAGTTGATTCACCCTGGTGAAGGGAAAACAAAAGTGACATGTGAGAGCTGCAATTAGCCAAGAAACAGGCTCCTAAAAACATACCAGCCTATTAAATCCAGGTTCCTGTTGCTTAACAGTTTCTAACGAGATAGGACATTAATAACTGTCCTGCACAGTGGTATAAAGCTGAAACCCTTTCACAGTGGTGTCTGATAGCAATTCTGACAGTTGCTGGAACATGCCAAGTAACATTGCTGACACTAATTGACAAGGATTTAGGAAGGTCCCAAAGGCATTCAGACGTAGCAATTGTCTCCCTAAGCCAGTAACAAGACTGTTTATACAGTGGCTGTTGAATGGTGTCCTTCAGACTGACAGCATAAATGTAAACAGTCACCACTGATAAAAATTAAATTAAGAAAAAAGTAGCTGCCTTTCAGTTTTCATCTCCTGAAGACCTGCTGCTGTTCCAGACAACTGCTCCCAAGAGATGGATGGAGTCCAGCGGGGACTGCAGTGTCACCAGGCAGAAGCTGTTCGCGGCAACACGCTGTCCTGCACCTCCTGCTACTGAGGGCAGCGAGGGGAACAGCTCCTGTTTGCTCCGTGGGGTACCCAGGGAAAAGGCAGCAATAGTTTTACAAAGTTCATCCCTTAGACCTGCTCCTTCTCATCGCAGTATGTGCCCTGTGCAGTCCAGCCTTCCTCGTCAACAGCTCCCCTGCTGCAGCAGCTCACCTCTCTCCCACACTGTTCATGCCTTCCCAGAGCGTGGTTACTTAGGGACAGGAGCAATCTCCTTTGATAGTGTTAAGCACAGCAGGGCCTGTGTGGACTGTAAGAAAGACAAGTCACCCTCGGACTCTGAGACCTTTGGGACTTGCTTTCTATCTCGGGTGCTCACTGACCTCAGTGGGAACTCCTGGATTCTTAGTAACGACACTGGAAAAACCCCACCTCACTCAAGGACCTGGCTTGACGTTGCCACGTTTCGGTGCTTTTACCCAAATGCACTCTAGCTGCCAACAGGAGAGGAAACCTGAGTCACAAAGTAAGAGTCTTCTCGTGCCATTTGCCTGTGCTAACTTAACAGGACAAATAAACTGAAACAGCAGTATTTTATACCTTCAAGGATTGCAGCAGGATTTTGCCATCGCATGCAAAAGCACAGCTTCTTTCTGAATCAGTGAAAAACCTGGGCAGGTTTACAGGGAAGATCACAGAAACCATCTCCGCCTCAGGTCCTACCAGATAAGAACTTCTCAATGAAACATCATTTTCCTTTGGAAAATGCTGATTCATTAAAAATCATCTGTGGCTCTTCACCAGACTTCATACCTGATCCAGGACACTCTTTTTTGCTGAAAGGGTATGATGCTGGATTCAGACACGTGTTCCAGGATAAAAATTAACCAGTGGTTAGAGGAAACCTTCCAAGAAATCTCTGCATCAGAAATTGGCCCAGTTCAGCCTACAGCTCTTAACTTCACACCAGCCTCACAGAAAGCTTGTCTCCAAGATGCGTAGAAGCCTCTGTGCCTTTTCTGCCTTTCAAGGCTATAAACTGAAATATTTTTGATGGAGCAGCTGACCCAAGTTTCTTCGTAGAATTACCGTTCTTGGTAACCCTACTGCATTGGACATTACGTTGCATTGAACATTGCAACTGTGCTTTAACTATCCGAATACATCAGAAAGAAAACAGATTACCTTGTGATGCTACAGTCAACTTCAGAAGTAGGAAGTAAACTATGACGGTTAGGAAGCTATCATAGAATGCTAAAACTTCAGATGTTTGAATGTGCCGTAATGTTGTTTGAAAGTCATGTCCCTTAACATGTAATTGATTCCACATTTTTACAAGATACAGAATATATACAGAAAAAGTTAGTTTTGCCATTGCTTTCTCTTTAGCACAGAGAACCCACCTGCATTGCTGACAGATGAACCATAAACACACACAAGACTTTCCTCCGTGTATCACTTATAGTTCAGCCTCCTATGGGATGAAATGTACCTCCCACATAAGTACTTATGTTGTCCCAAGTCATGAGAGTTACTCATTCTTTGCATTTTAACACATTTCTCTCAACTTCTGCTTTATGTCTCTTTTACAGATGGGAGCAGAGGCCTAGAGGGGCATTTAGAAGAAACAGGGAAATTAGACCCCGCATGACTTGAGAAGCTGCTGGGGAGAGAAGTGACTTTCAGGGATCACATAGGAAGCTAGTGGGCAGAAGAGGGAACCGAAATAGTCTCCCAAATTTCAGACAGTGCAGTCTTCACTCTCTCTGAAGCACTGTGTTGTAGACAGTGGTCTGCTGGCTTCTGCACAGCCTGATTTCAACGAGGCTCAGCTTACAGGTGGCAGCAGGTCAGCTGTGAATTTTTTAATTTTTTTTTTAAAATCAGAAACGCTAATAATAAATTTTAGATTCTCTTAGGTGGTAAAATGTAGTACATGGACTTAAGCTAACGAGGCTTAAGAGCATCTAAATCCCTGTTTAAGTCTCACTTGCCTTTCTAATAACGATAATCCCACACTGAATAGATTGTCGCTTCCGATTTGGGGATATCTGCTGACTAAACATTGGTTCCTAAATTGTTCTATTTTCTCTGCAGTGTTTTCTCAAGATTGTGAATGTTTTCATTCCTTGAAGAGAGCGGGGTGGGAACCACTCTGTTATTTCCTGAGGGGGAGGAAACTTACCCAAATTGCCTTTCAAGAACAGAAGCTGTACAACTTTTTTAGTTGTTTTTACGGGCTCCTCCAGCAGTTAAAAATGTGGCTGACTCCTTCTAACCCCATCATTTCCTCCCCTGTCAAACCTAAATATTTCTCCTAGATCCTATCAAACCATTTCCATGTAGTGTGACAGCATCTATAATACTGAAGTATTTATAAGACTGTCTGTTTAATATTAAACCAAATGCTCTAGAGCTGTTAAATATTTATACTACGTAAAATGGATCTAATTTCACAGCACCTCAGCCGGTTAGAGAACCGCATAAGAAAAAGAAGACAAATTTGAGATAACAGATGAGTGGCCAGAATCTTTTACAGGTCAGCTATACTCTACTTTGTTTCAGGAATCGTGCAGAGATGATTCTCCAAATGCTCTGTCCCTTTCAGTCTAGCTGGTCACCAAGCCAACAGACGTTGGAGATGACAGTTTGTAATACAGCCAGCACTGCTGTACAGTCCCCGGCACAATCCGGGCCTTCTGAGGCCTTTGAAAGAGGTTTTGCTGCCCACATGCAATCCAAGAATGCTCTGCTCCACCCTGTGCCAGCCAGAATAAAACCCAGATCTCCCTTCTCACCTGCAGCTGCTCCAACAATTTAGGGTGAAGTTGTGAGAAGCAGCGGCAGGATGTATGTGCCACTGACTTTCCATAAGCTATAGGCTACTGAATGTTTGAGCTCCGTGAATTGACATCTCTGTTCATGAGCTCAAACTCAAGCAAGTAACAGGACGTCAAAGAAGGAGAACACACTTGCAGGCTAGTGTGTGCGGCACCGTCATGCACAAGGCTGCAAGACAAAGGCTGTGCACAAACAAAGCTTTTGTGAATGCTGCCAACACCGTTTAATGTTACGTTTCATACATAGCTTAAACACCACACATATTTCAGTATCCTACAGCTTTCCAAAAGCCCTGTTTCCTTGATATCTAAACAAGTCAGGCTCTGGCTTTTGTAACAGAGAAGCATATTAGGAAATAATGTCCTAATTTTTACAGCCTGCTGTACTTAACATCACTTAACTTTTACAACCGACAATAAAATGCTTCGGTGGGGTCCTTCTAGCCTGCAAATAACTCATTTTTTGACTAGCAGGAGCTCATTCAGCAGACAAGAGTATTGGGGCTACAGGGGCAGCTAGATCACTGTACTTAGCAGCAACTCCTGCCTGTGATTAAGGATCCTTCTCCTTCATTTCACTGGAGAGAATTCTGTGTTTCTGAAGTACCATGCAGTATGCTATAAAGTGCCTGTTTGAAGCAGCGCTTTAGGAAGGGATACCACGTAACAGTCACTAATGGCACCCTTCAGCAGATTCCTCCCTGTCTGAACTTTCTCAGACATTGCTGGGGGGGGAGGTAAACCTCTCCAAAAGACCTTGTGATCACACTGGAATCAGAAATTTTAGGTGATGAAATATTTACATGGACATCCTTGAAAGGCAATGAGACTTTATGGCCTTAAATCTATGAAAAAAAATCTCTCTCTCAAATACAGCTAGCTAAAGGGGGTTTTTGGCATCAAGGCCTTCGAGCCAATGACGCACTCCACCCGTGTATCAGTGATGATTAGCAGCCCAGCCGGGTGCAGCATTCTGCAAATCCCCCTACTGAACCTCATCAGTAGCATTCAAATCTAATGTTGCTGCCTGAACCTGTGCAAGAAAAACAGAGGCTGAGGATTATCATTTGTAGCTCCACACTTGTATGACTTTCAGATGTAACAGTGAATTTTATCAACTGATGAATGAACACAGAAAGTTACTTGCACACGAGGTTGGCTCATGCTATTGTTATCCCTGTATTCCTGCAGATAACCGACAAAATAATTACGGAATAGGAGAGCTGGGGCAGCCTTCCACATTGGGTTTCTCGATCTTCAGATGCACACAAGCTCAGGTCCATCAGGTAAGTTAAAATCCTAGGGTAGTAATACTGTCACTGTGGTCTCCCTGACACTTAGAGAGGACAAGGGTAGTTGCAGCTGGAAGGAGGAAAGAGATCACTAAGGCAGAGGAACATAAAGTGGGCTTAGGCATAGGCCAAGTCCTCTCTCTGCACAATAACCACCTCCTAATTTACCAAATGTGATTCAGAAAGGGAGAAATGTCAGGAAAGTGTGTGTTTTACATACTCGCCCACTTCATCCACCACCTTGTTACTGCAGGGATCAACTGCCTTAAGTAAATCCTTGCTGAAGCCAATTGCCAAAACACATTAACATTTTAGTAAACAAAGGAGGGAAATGAACACAAGTTTACAGATCGTCCCACTCATATTTTCCACCA